GCGCGAAATCTGACAGCCATGTCGGGACAGCACGGTCTCGTCGCCGCCGTCGCGCCTGACGTTTCGCGCCGTGACCCGTTGCGTCTGAGCTCCCACCTCCGCTGTAAGCCGTTGCGCCTGAGCTCCCACCTCCGCTGTAAACCGTTGTGCCTGCTTGACGCCCCGCCCCCCCCCCCTTCCGGTGTGATCCATCGCCCCTGACGCCCCCTACCCTGCTGTGAGTCCCTGAACTGTGTCACCTGACATTCCCCGCCGTGACCGTCGCTCCTGTCGGTCCCCGGCGTGACCCATCACACCTGACGGTCCCCGGCGTGACCGTCGCCCCTGACGGTCCCCAGCGTGACCCATCACACCTGACGGTCCCCAGCGTGACCCATCACACCTGACGGTCCCCGGCGTGACCCATCATACCTGACGGTCCCCGGCGTGACCGTCGCCCCTGACGGTCCCCAGCGTGACCCATCACACCTGACGGTCCCCGGCGTGACCCATCACACCTGACAGTCCCCGGCGTGACCCATCACACCTGACGGTCCCCGGCATGACCGTCGCCCCTGACGGTCCCCAGCGTGACCCATCACACCTGACGGTCCCCAGCGTGACCCATCACACCTGACGGTCCCCGGCGTGACCCATCACACCTGACGGTCCCTAGCGTGACCCATCACACCTGACGTCCCCAGCGTGACCCATCACACCTGACGGTCCCCCGTGACCCATCACACCTGACGGTCCCCGGCGTGACCGCCCCTGACGGTCCCCCGTGACCCATCACACCTGACGGTCCCCGGCGTGACCCATCACACCTGACGGTCCCCAGCGTGACCCATCACACCTGACAGTCCCCTGCGTGACCCATCACACCTGACCCTCCCCGGCGTGACCCATCACACCTGACGGTCCCCGGCGTGACCGTCACACCTGACGGTCCCCGGAGTGACCCATCACACCTGACGGTCCCCGGAGTGACCCATCACACCTGACGGTCCCGGCGTGACCGTCGCCCTGACGGTCCCCGGACCCATCACACCTGACGGTCCCCCTGACCGGTCCCCGGCGTGACCCATCACACCTGACGGCCCCCAGCGTAACCCATCACACCTCAAGGTCCCCGCCGTGACCTATCACACCTGACGGCCCCCGTCGTAACCCATCGCAACTGACGCCCCCGCCGTGACACATCGCTCCTGGCGGCCCCCGACGTGACCCGACGAATCTGACGGCCCCCGGCGTGACCCGTCACCCTTGACGGCCCCTGTCGCGGCAGATGGTGGGCTGCGCGCTGTGCGCCGCCGCCTTCGGCGAATCGATGTCAGACTTGCTCAGCACGCCGGACAACCCTTGGGTGGAGCGAGCCGTCGGCGTCACACTCGTCGCCCTGCTGACCGCCATCAACGTGGCCGGCGTCAAGTGGGTCATCAAGGTGCAGTTTGTCCTACTGGCCCTGCTGGCGCTGGCCGTGCTCGACTTCCTCTTCGGCTCAATGATAGGGGAGGGGGTCGGAGGTGAGTGGGAGCTTGGAGTCATCAAGCGGAATAAATCGTTTAAGTTTTGAAAGCTTGAAGACCTTGTTCAAGGAGTTGGCGATGAGCTGGAGACCTAGATAGCCTGTGGCGGGCTAGAGTGTTTGCACGGTCTGTACATGGACGCCTTCGATGTCCTCCACTAATCTAGGTCGACGCTCTCTCCACGCCAGGCTATGTTTCTAGTAAGGAAACGACGGCCCGTTCCCTGCGACTGCTCCCAGCGGTCTTCGTCAAGAAAAGAGGCCCGCTTTTTCGGTCCAGAAAACGCCGGATTATCTTACCAGATTTTGTCGCATTGTGCCATTAGCGTCGTGTGGTGCTTGGCCAATCCGAGCGGTCTGTGCCATTATCATCGTATGGTGCTTGGCCAATCCGAGCGGTCTGTGCCATTAGCGTCGTATGATGCTTGGCCAATCCAAGGGGTCTGTGCCATTAGCGTCGTATGGTGCTTGGCCAATCGAAGCGGTCTGTGCCGCAGGCGACGGGTTCGTCGGCTGGAGCATGGCGAATCTGCGAAACAACACCGCCCCCGGCTACACGGAGGGCAACAACTGGTTCAGTGTGTTCGGCGTGTTCTTCCCCAGCCTCACCGGCATCATGGCCGGCATCAACATGTCGGGCGACCTGCGGAACCCCCGGCAGGACATTCCTCGCGGCACGCTGGCCGCCCTCGGCGCCAGGTGACGCCCCGCTGCCGGTGGCGGGCGGCGAGCGGTGTCGCGATGCCGCACAGGGCAGCGGGAAATACAGCCTGTAGTACACTTGTACTATACGCAGGGGCTGCGCTGAGGGAGGGAAACGGTGGACAGGGAGATTGTCACGCGATTGCATTGAAGCCTGCGTTCTGCCCGTGTGCTGCATAGTGAGGACGGGCCCACAATGAGCTCCGTCACACCTACCTCAACCACATCAGGTGGTGGCGACGACGTTCCCGTTACGAATTAGCGCATCCCACTAACGCTCAACCAGAGACACACCGGTGGGAAGCATCTTGCCTCTGTTTGCAACGTCCCCTCGTGTTGCAATGGGGTCGAATAGGACTATTTGGTTGTTACAGGCACGGGGCTTGCAATCATTACTGGAGCATCTGTTGGTTCGGTATTTAGAACAACAAAGGCATTCGTTTCAGCACGATCCTGTATGTGATGTTCGCATTCGTCCTAGCGGCCACCTGCACAAGAGAAGCCCTCTTAACCGACTACATTATAGCCGAGCGAGTGGCCGCGACAGGTGAGACCCCTGTGGCTGAGCTGCAGGCATTCGTAAACGGATTTGGCCGACCGAGATGTGTTGTGAGCTGATTTGTCCGTTGGACGAGTAGAAAATTGTGATTTAGAAAAAATTCGACCGCACCAAACCCAAAACAACTCATATACTTATATGTATGTGCTTTGTCTTCGGTCTTAACGCCATGGAGAAAACTCTGCCGCAGTGAAAGCGACTCGTAACCAGTGCCGCTTTCTCGTATCCCATAGCCTCCCTTATCCCAAACTTACGAAGCTTGTGAAAGGGAGACACTTTACAGATGTATCACGACATGAGAGAAAGCTACCAAGAGGAGCCATAGAAGGTTACTGATGAGTTTGCTGTAAAGCTTTACGTGGTTTTGCTACTAAAAGCGACCTTTGGGGTACCTAATTACTTAAAAATATTTGCCATAATGTCGTATGCTTTACGGTATTGTGATGCCGCAACATGTAAACACTCTAGAGCAAAATTTATTTTCAACAAGGCACTGGACGTTTAGCGCCGGTGTGGTCGTCTGCAAACCGGGAAAAAAACTGATACGCAATAACACGCTGCAGTGCATTGCTGTCTATCGTGAGGAGGATCTAGCAGTAAGCAACTACATGTTTCAGGCTGTCGTAGCCGTCTGCTCGAGGGCGAATCAAGGTCACCATCCTGCTGGGGACGCGGAAACATCGAGCTCACGCCGGGTCGTTAAGGCGACTGATAGTGGCCTCTTGGCACCAATGTATGACGTCCTGGTAGAACGGGCGTAAGTCTGCAGTGCGGAATGGCCTGGGTGATTCGTCTGCTTCTTCTTCAGGTGTGCTGCTTCTGCTGGGACTTTACATATCATCGTCCTCCTCCTGTCTTTCAACTCTGTACGGGACTCCGCGTGTTCTCCAAAGCATTGCAAATGAAAACATCATACAGTTCCTGAAGCCACTCAGCAAAGTGGTACGTGGTTAATTGGTCGTTGCGCTGTACCAAGTTCTTTCTATCTTGACAGCTTATATCTTATGTCACATTAACAAATGACTTAATTGATGTTGTGTGCGTGTGTGCGTGCGTATGAGCCCATAAGACACCAGAATTAGTGGAACCACGGAAAACAGATGCAAACAGGTTTGAACCATAAGAAGCTGCGTATGCGTAAAGTTGTGCGGCTTGAAGTCCAACTATACCCCCAAGCCACTGGTAACGATTTGCGAATCAATATACTGCATCCATGTTCCGCTCTGCGCAACGCTCACAGGCAATGGTCAACACGCCATGATTCCCCCCCGCAGAATCGTTATTCGTGCGCTGTTTGCTTTCCAGAGTGGTGCCAACAAGGTTCCGCTGTACGCTCTGGTGGCCATTTCCGTCGGCACGCTGGTCTTCATCCTGATTGGCCAGGTCAACAGACTGGCCCCGATCGTGACCTTGCCGTTTTTGATGACGTACGCCGGTATCGACTACGCCTACTTTGCCTTGGCGCACGCGTATGACGTGCAGGAAGAACAGGCTCACCAGCGAAAGTGAGTTGAAGAGTGACAGCCTTTCGTCCTCATAATGCACAACGACGTGTGGTTTTTTCTCTATCAGGTGATGCAATATTGTGTGACGGTTGCCATACCGGAATGCAGCAGTGTTCGCGCTTCAGTTGATCGCCAGAAGTCTCAGACCTGCAGATTTGATTGCATGTGGGTGTTCGGAACGTCCAAGTTTTAAAGCGATTCTCATGTAAGAAATACAAAGAATGATTGAGTGACTCCCAGAATGCTGACATCGCCATCCAGATAGGTATGCATGGCGCTACAATGTTTGCTGCTGCACAGATCAACCCAGCTGGGTTCGCCGACATTTGACACCAGCGAGAAGGGACTGACCGCTTACGGCGCCGTGGACAAGGTCTCCGAACAGAGCAAGAACGCCATGCAAACATCGGTACGGGACAGAATTTCTGGTCTTACTCGGCCTGCTGTTGAATGGTTGCCCGCTAAAAGTCAGAGTAAGAGTGATTGCCACACTTATCAGAGTGATTGCCACGATCCTTTAACACGCGCTCGGTTGAGGGGCCAAATTTACCGCCCCCCCCCCCCCCCGGAGGTTTTTCCATAATGGTTTCCGAACGGCGCGGCATAGCCGCGCCAAATTTTGCATACCTGTAGACAATTGAATAGCAGATAGTTTGACATAAAAAGTTTAGATTTACCTTGTAAGGTCGGTAGATCTATGGCAGGTCAAAGTCAGGTCATGGCTTCAGCGAAGGCAACTTCTAGGGAATCGTTCAATCTGATACAACAACGGAGTGTTTGACGAAGCCATACATCTCTGAGATGCCTTTTTTAGCCACCACAAATACTGAATGAACAAACTACGTTCACCTGAGCTCAGGTATCAAGGTCAGAACAAGGTCAAAACCAACCTGATTTATTATTCTAGGGCTTGCTGTATGGGATTTGTGGTGCTCATTTCGAATTTATTGACAGCAGGAAACCGCACTATACATCTTCCATGGACTTCTTAGGGGTCGGAACAGGTCATTGACCTAACATGACCTGGGTCGACATTTTGTGTTAGGAACCTTCTGCCTAACGTAATCTTTGTCGCTTATTTAAATGCAAAACTCAGAGTAGTCTTGTATGATTTTGGTCATCATGACCTGCGAAATGTCAACCAAGGTCAATGATCTCAAATGGGCTTATGACCTTTTACTTAGAAAGCAGTTGCCTAGGTTCTGGGGGCACTTCGGAGACCAACCTGGAATCTGACCTTGTTTGACCTTATTTTACCTGAAGGTCATAACCTATGAAGCTCAAACTTTGACCTAAGTGAGTTCACGTACAGGTCAAGACACCCTGTAAATTTGGTATTTTTAGCTTTCTTAGTTCCCGAGATCTCAGGGGGGTCAAATTGACCCCTGCATCCGAGCGAAGGGTATCTAGCCGGTCACCCGAGGGCGTGTGAATGTTATCGGAAGCAGTAGCGCAGGCAGCGGGGGCGGGGGGGGCATAGGGGCACGTGCTCCTCCCTTTAGGTTCTGGCGGGCCCTTTGGCTCCTCGGAACCTAAGATTAAGGGCCCGAAAAATCGGCCGAAGGTCGCATTCAGGGGCTCCGGTTCGCAGAGCCGGGCACTGTAATAAAAGCCAGAGTGTTCTGTGGGCTGATCAGGGGCCCCATATATATATATATATATATATATATATATATATATATATATATATATATATATATATATATATATCGAAGACAAAACATGCCCTCATTTACAACTGGGCCATATCTGGCGATTTTTTTGGGAGGGGCCTTTAACTATCAGAGTGCCTTTGCTAACCCCGTGCCACCTCCCCACCGCCCGCCAAAGCTCTGGCTACGCACCTGTTCGGAAACCATGACAGGCGTTTCCGAAACTGTGACGTTAACATTGATCGACAACGTTTCCTGGTTTCAGTGGGAGTCGACAAACACGACGAGCATGCCTTCATCGCCCGAGGACGACTCTAGTTCGCACAGTGTCCGCCAGGTGCTCCCACCCAACGGTAAGTTACGCGGGTGACCACCCTGGCACCGTCTCACCGACGCTCTGTGCTACACATCAGGCTCCACCCCACGGCCACGTTGTCCCACTCAGTAACACCTGCCACATACAGACCAGTCTGCCGTGAACAGGAGCGCGCGTGCGATGCCTCCGCGTCCGTGCGGGTCCATGTCGCCTGTTCCGGGACGACGGTCCAGCCCGGCACCGGCCGCGCGCCGCCACTGAGTGGACGTTCGCCGGCGGCTGCAGAGGCCGCCGGGCGCCAGCAGGCGGCAGCCGTGACGTCACTGTTGGCGCAGCAGGACGGCATCCGGCTGCAGCCACCCAGCTGCTACTCCGGCTTCTGCAACCGATGGGTCTCGCTGCTGGGCGTGAGTAGTCTGGTTGAGCCCCCCTCCACTTTACTTCCACGTCCGCGTTCACTATGAGGTATTTGGACAGTGTTTTTTTTTTTGGCTAGGTTAGCATCAGCCTTCGTCACACGAGATAACCACATCGTCCTTGGCGCAGGTCAAGTTAGGCCATACCGATGCAATAGCTAGTAGCGGATAGCCAAGTCATCGGCACCCACGCGTCAGAAGACGGTTCCGTGACATGCTTGTGCACGCGTGCTCACGGCTGCACGGGTCACCATGTCGGCCTGCGTATGGTGCGGGCAGATGCTGCTAAAGCTGGTGATGATGATGCTGGTGAACTGGCTGTACTGCCTGCTGACGGTGCTGTCGGTGCTGCTGATCTGGCTGTACGCGCGCCGCGTCAGCCCCGGCTGCCCAGCTGCCCTGGCCGACTCGTTCTCGCTCCCCGGCTGGCTGCACGACAAGCTCTCGCGGGCTGTGGGACGGTGAGTCACCGACTCCGACTCCGACACACTCTCGGACCAGAGTCGGATGCACCAGGCGCATAGGGAGGTCTCCAGCGCTCCGTTTCTCACCGCGATCATACGTCTGCCGGCTACATCTGGAAACAAGCATGACAGTTGGAGCTAACTGACCTAGCTCACCATGCAGCCTCTCACTGCCACCGCTCTCTCTCTCTCTCTCTCTCCGCCTCTCTCTCTCTCTCTCTCTCTATCTCTCTCTCTCTCTCTATCTCTCTCTCTCTATCTATCTCTCGCTCTCTCTCTCTCTCTCTCTCTCTCTCTCTCTCTTTTCTCTCTCTTCTCTCTCTCTCTCTCTCTCTCTATCTCTCTCTCTCTCTCTCTCTCTCTCTCTCTCTCTCCTCATTCCTCTCTCTATCTCTCTCCTCTCTCTCTCTCTCTTCCGCCTATCTCTCTCTCTCTCCTCTCTCCTCTCTCTCTCTCTCCTCTCTCTCTCCTCTCTCTCTCTCTCTCTCTCTCTCTCTCTCTCTCTCTCTCTCTCTCTCTCTCTCTCTCTCTCTCTCTCTCTCTCTCTCTCTCTCTCTCTCTCTCTCTCTCTCTCTCTCTCTCTCTCTCTCTCTCTCTCTCTCTCTCTCTCTCTCTCCCTTCCCCCTTTCTCTCTTTCCCAGTGGCTGTTGACTGTCACCGGATGTCTCACCGTGCACACTGTGGGTCCGGCGCGGCCCCCTTCACCCTGCCCCGCACTGCCGACAGGAGACGGGTGGGATCCAGCTACGAGCGGATGATTGTGACTCCCATGGCGCCGGGTGTGATCGTGCAGCCGACGCAGGTGACCGAGGAGAACGAGGACTTCGAGGGCCGCTCGCACTACCACCAGTCCACAGTGCAGGCGTCCAAGGCGCTGCTGGCCGACGACTGAGCGACATCCACCCGGCCATGGCGCCTCGGCCCATCGGAAAGAAGCGAAGATCACCGGAGGTCACCGATGGTTCCTGAGGCGGGTAGAGACAACGAGAGGACCGAAAGCCATCCGCTACCACCTGAGGTTGACGTGACGCTGCTTTTCCTCGAATCTGCCGGAGATCACGGCAGCACCGAAGGCTATCGGCGGTCATCGGAGGTAAACGAAGGTTTCCGAAGGTTACCGGCGCGCAGACTTAAGCGACCGATGTGCGCCCGCGGCAATGGGCACACGGTGTGCGATCTGGGCGACAACGCGCGGCGTCAGCCCGGTGGGGCGGCCCGGCGACCGTCCGCGGATGAGGGACAGCACCATCCAGAGGGACCTCAGGACGTAGGTGCGACTCTCACCGAGGTCCGCCTCGCGCGACGGCGGCGTTGTTGTGCATGGGTGTTGTCTGTCCGCCGCTTGTCCGCCCCTGGACTGGCGAGAGTGGGCTTATGGCCAACAGGGCCGCCCGGCGCCGGTCGGACGGGGGTCCTGCGCGGCTAGCAGCCGGTGATCGCACGGCCCCAGCAGCGCACAAAAAACAGCCGAGATCGTGCGGCCCCAGCGGTGCGCTACAGCAGCCGGAAAATCATACAGCCCCAGCTGCCCCATCTCCGGCTGCCCCAGCGCGCTAGCGCAGCCGGCGATCATACGGCCCCAGCACCGCGCCAAACCTCTGCACGCTGTGCGCACATTCTTGGGAGCACACAAGCCAGTTGAACAGAGGAGAGAGCACGCACAGTTCCACACGTCGCTTCTGCGAAATTCGCTTTGTTAGGTTAGTTTGGTTAGCTTTGAGCATAACACACATTGCAACGTGTTTAGTCAACATAATGGAGCACCAAGAACGCAGGCTTCCGATCTGTCTACGTACATCAGGGAGATAACTTCCCATTCACATTTTTCGTAATACGGATATGGACAACAGCTGTCCTGTTCTTTAAGTGCATGAGCAATGGACTGCAAAACGAACGTACGTAATGACGTTAAATGTGCCAACTTTTAACTGCTAATGGCTTTCTTACAATGCAGAACGGTTGCACAGTTGCAACAAAGTTTGATCACAGGGTCTTATATTGCTGAGGCGGATATAGATCAAAACGATCACTTAACCGTTGTAATGTAGTAAGCACGTGTGCCAGTTCCTGGAGCGATGGAAGCTGTACTCATTTAACAAATTTTCAAGCCTTCATCAATGTGTGAAGAAAACACCCCACCGTTGCCGGATGTAAGCCAAGAGTGATGCAAATGAAAGTAGCTTTTTGCTATGATCGTGCCTAAACACATGCCACCGCTAAACCTAGCGGCCTCTCACGCATAGGTGTGCACCAAACCCACTTTCTGCCGGCTTTGTGCAACGGCCGAGATGAATGTCGGCTGCGACCTTTGACTCAGTGTGCAGTGCACAAGCCACGTTGTATGTCGTTCGTCAGTGTCGATGTTTACTGTGCAACCGAAATAATGCAACAGAGCCATATTGCACTCGGCGGTCAGCAGCTCACGAGGCTAGAGCCGGGATGGTGCCACCGATATTTCGACATGAAGTCTGGACTGCGATAGAGCAAATCGATCCCCAGTGACTTATGGTTGCATCGTCCATGTGCTTGTACCATATGAACTCTATCAATGTTATTGTTGAAATCCCTGTCAGCGAGCGCTTGGTCGCAAGGTCGGAACCAGACAAGGTCGCCAGGACATTATACCAGACAAGTGACTCGGTGCTTTATGTTTGACCCGTCAATTACTGCTGTGCGTCAGGTTGGACGTTCGGTGAAAGTCTGCAAACACAGCTGCCTGCCTCTGAACCCACAGCCGTCTGTGTTGAGCCGTGGGCGACTTTACCTCACCCTCAGGATGTGACTAGTTTGCAGTGCCACTGTTCCGTGCCACGAGTGGGTTTATTCTAGTCTTGCGGGGATTCTGCCGCTGCCTGCTATCGACAGCGTGCCGCCAGCTTACTCATGATGTACCGCAGCAAGGTCATGACTTGAGGCCAGGAGCCTATTCCAACGCCGCGTCGGTGAGCCGTAGTCTTCTACCTGAACTGTACTGTTGCCACTTGAGCTGTTGCAATATCTCCAGACTCTATTTTTCGTCACGGCGACTCAATAAACGTAACCCTATTTTCGATGGTTGGCGTTTTTGCCTCGTCGCCAGCGATGGTGGTGGGCCGAGAGTGGGAGACCCCATCACCGCGATGAGACGCGGTGCGCGACGTCAGCGATGGTAGTGGGCTCAGAGCGGGAGAGCCCATCGCCGCGATGAGACGCGGTGCGAGGCGTCAGCGATGGTAGTGGGCTCAGAGCGGGAGAGCCCATCACCGCGATGAGACGCAGTGAGAGGCGTTAGCGATGGTAGTGGGCCCAGAGTGGGAGAGCCCATCGCCACGATGAGACGCGTTGCGAGGCGTCAGCGTGCTTTAGACAATTCGGAACCGCGCTGCTGAAATCACAGCGACACAAGCTGTTGTGTAACCCTCTCTACATCTACAACAAAATTGCGACGCAGTTCTTTTGGCCTAGTTATTAGAATTTCGCCAAACATAACTTTTGCCGACCCGAGTTTGAACTTCTGACCTTGTGACTTGAAGGAAGTGTACCAGCTTTGGCGATATTCTAAAAGCATGCTTTAGGGAAACCACTGGACTACTTACGTCTAATAATAGTACTGACGAGCGTCACTGCAGCACCGTCAAAATAAAATAAGGATATCAATTTCAATACTCTTTTTTTGTCCAAATTACGCTTTCAACGCTTTAGAGCAACGTCACGTCTCCTTCCTGCAGTCGCGATCACCGTCGTCATGGTAACCGTCATGCGTACCTTTACTGGCACAAATAATATAATGTTTGTGATTGGCTCAGCGGGCAAGGGCCTGTTACCGAGAAGCGTATTGGATAAAATTTAACCCAGTGCATCACTGTGGACCATATAATTCTCCCATTCCCAAAAGCCCAAATGCGCCTCGAAAAGAGCTACTGTGGTGAACGCTGTAAGGGGGACATCAAGGGCATAGCGTAACGTTTCGTTGAATTTGCCCGATAATAGCTTTATGTTCGCAAATGTTTTTGTCTAAAAAGAGCTTTCAAGCTTTCGTGGAATCAGTTCCACAAACATTTCGGCACATTAGTGTGTTAGGTACATTGTCAGGTACACCGGCACATTAGGTAATATCACAGGACACACACGTTCGAAAAAGCAAAGCAAATGAAATGCAGTACTCTCATAATGGTGAGCAGGTAGTCAAATGAGATTTCCCCGAAGGGTACGCTACTTCAAATCGAAATTCTGAGCTATTCGGGAGGATTTCGAGAAATTTGATCTATTCTGGGATCTGAAAAAATATTACCTGATCTGGTATTATACATCAAATTGTGCGCGTCTAATGTAACAATAAATGAAAAGTACAAAGTGGGACGCCCCATTTTGACATATTTCAAGCACCCGGGATACTGCGGTCGCGGATGTAAACCCTGTGAAACCACAATAGCCGGTGCTCTGCAACGCAACCTCAGCGCCGCGCACACCAGATCTCATCATCTAGCGGCTCTGGTTGTGTGAAGTGGTTATGCCATCAGCGCCATCACGCAGAATGGCCGCCGTAGCCGATGAGTCCATAGACCACACGGGTGTCATCAAAGGCCACAAACATTGGAGGTGGCACTGTGACTGCGGGCCATCAGGTCATCAGGTGAAATGTGACATCAGGTCAACACCGCCAGGTTTAGTGTGCAGGTGCTTGCGTTCAAGCACACGTGGGGACGGCAGAACGTCATTCATACCCATCTGACCTGTCCTGAAAAATGGTTCATTATATTGTATTGTATTGCATTGTATTAGATCTTTTGCCTATTCATGCTGTGTGACTTTTCAGGATTAGCGTCATCATGTACAAAGTGGAAAGCAAAAAGCTACAAAACAGGGCAGACACGCCTCAGGCCAAAATAGCGACGATAGTCCTGTGGAGCAATTTACAGAAAAACACCTATCGCAAGAAAAGTGGTTAGTCAATAGAGTCTCCCAAAAGCCTCTGCAGAGAAGTACTAAGCGAGCAGCTCTCAGGCCCTATGTGCTTTCAGCGACGTACGAAACGCGGACGGTGTCGGACGCCCAGTGACAGCAGGCGGCAGCTGGTTTCACGTACCTTCAAGTCATTAAAACAGCTTCAAGTGCGGAAAACATCGGGGATGAAAGTGATATGTTTTGAACGTTTGGTGGGAAGGTAAAAATCTCCACGACTGGCCTTAACAAAATACCTTAAAAATGTATGATGCATCCCGACAAACAAAACTGGAAAAATATCCATATCACCCTTCAAAATATTGTGACAAAAATGCATGCAGGTGTAAATGCTTTGTAGCCAAGGCAAGCGGTAACATTGTAGCAAATCACAAGAGAGCTGTGAAAGACATGTTTGCAAAAGTATCTAGTGAAAAGTAATGTTTTGTAAGAAAAAGACATGTGGTAAGGGCGATGAAGATACGCCAGCAATGCTGTGCTAAATAAAGCATTGCTGCCGTGTCTTTCAGCTGTAAATGCATTACTTGGACAGTGACATGATATTCTGTGTTGGGGTGCTTCAACTACAGCGTTCCATGTGCGCCTGCCACAGCGAAAATATACGCCTACTACAGCGGTCAGTATGCGGGTACCACAGCGGTCAAGATGCGCCTACTACGGCGGTCAATATGCGCCTACTACGCCGGTCAATATACGTCTGTTACGGCGGTCGACATGCGCCTGCTACAGCGGTCAATATGCACCTACTACAGCGGTCAATATGTGCCTATTACAGTGGTCAGTATGCTCCCACCACATTGGTCAATATATGTCTACTTCAGCGGTCAATATACGTCTATTACAGCGGTCAGTATGCTCCCACTACAGCGGTCAATATGCGCCTACTACAGTGGTCAATATACGCCTACTACAGCGGTCAGTATGCTCCCACCACAGTGGTCAATATATGTCTACTACAGCGGTCAATATGCGTCTAGTACAGCGAGCGCAAACACAACTTGGCACAGTGACTGGAGTCGGGCGATCCTCATGCACTCGACGTATGCATAAATAGGGCACTAAGTGCACGGACTTGTCTGACTTATCTGACGCTGACTTATCACGGGTTGGAGTCATCAAAGTTTGGGTTCCATGCACAGTCACGGACCGATTAAGCACAGGATTCTAAAATCAATATCGTCCCTACAGTTCATAAACAAAACATCCTTAACATCAAAGAACGGGTCATCGCCAATGCGAGAGCGTGGAGACAGTCCAACCGTGCGTTGTGTTACACAGAGAGGTTTGGTACCGGATGGTGAAAGCGTGTGCCCCACAGTCCTGCCTCACCTGTCGTTCTGAGGGCACGCTCACGGCCATAAATGCAAGAGCTTTCCAAAGCGTGCACCATCTAATGTATAATTTCAGTACTTATTTCCAAAAATGTAGCCTAGTGTCCTCCATGGAATGGAAGCATTTCTGGCGAAACAATGTGTTAATCCAGAACACCTGTTAGAAGTCGCAGACAGGTAGGTAGTTTCCATTTGGGATTTGCTCGCTGACAACTGGCACAGGC